TTTTGTTTGTTTTTGCAAGAGGTCCGTGTCCTTTCGGATTTGAACCCATGGTCTATCAGATCCGCAGGCGAGTGTCTATAAGTTACACCATGGAGGATCCTGTGCCAGATCAGGGAGATGGAGAAATAGAAATATATTTCACAGTAATCAAATAAATTTACATAAATAACATTCCTGCATGCAAATATTTAACAAACTTTAAATGAACAAGAAACATTAAACCAACAAAAAAAACGTACAATCATAGACAACAAACAGATCACAAACCAGTAAAAGAGATAATCAAACATAAAATCTGCATGCACACTACAACTAAACACACTTTAAAAAAAACCCCAGCGGCGATCCAATTAGCAATAGATATAAAACAAACAACCGACATGAAACCAACATCACACTTGAAATGAAATTCCCACATAAAACCACCAGACACCGAGTCATCAACAGGTAATAAATCAATAACAGAATTAAATCAACTTCAGAACTTACATCAACGATGAACTTAAATCAGTCATAGCTAGCTTAATTAAACAAACAATGGTTTCCTAGTACTTCTTGTGATGTTGATTGCAGTATACAGAATAAGGAGACGTCTAGATCTCTTGATTTTGATCATTGGTAGGTACAGATTCCCTCTGTTGATGTGGAATATGACCGACTCAAAATTTACGACCGTACAGCTCAAACTGAAGTTCCTGTTTTTGTGAGGTTGGCGTGGCCGGTCGGAGGTAACAATTGTTATCGAGTAAATTTATACAGTAATTGAACTACAGTTTAATTAAGTAAAGTACAAAAAACGGAAAGGACCCTTGTCCACGCCTTTAGGCGTATAGGGCATATAGGGCTAGACCTATATTTTTAAAGACCAACCGGCACAAGATGGGTGATGTGGTCAGCATCACGCCGGCTGCCTATTCTTCCCGGGACTGCACCCGGTACCCACTCAAGGCTGGGTCGACCTGGGAACAGTTTGATTAATGGGCAACTTATGTTATTGAATGAATTATTATTTTGAAGACCATTAAATGGGCAATTAGAAGAAATGTATCTTCAAAATGATAATTCATCAGAGATATATGGTCCTGCTTCGTGCTCTTCTGGCTGCTTCGACCATAGACACATCGTGGTGCTGTAGAGTTTCTCTGATGCTATATTCCTATCTTGTTCTTGGCCTACCTCTTGCTCTTCGTCCCTCTCCTCTTTTGGTATGTGTACAACACAGTTCGGCTCTGTGGCTAAGTCGATGCGAACGCTTCGCTTCGTAATGCCAGGATGCCAGGTTCGATCCCAGCTGCGGGCAATGCGCCTTGCGTTGGTTTCGACAGCGGTATCAAGAAAGCCGACCGTCCAGAAAGCAATGGCAAACTACTGGATGTAAATTGCCTAGAGAAACCACACAACAGCCAGGGGCTGTTGGGGTTGGTTCTGCAACGTCCTGTAAAGGATACGCAAATAATTTTTAACTAACAACACAGTTACGTCACTCGGACGAACGAAATAAATAACCGCAGGTCTGGGCTAGGCAAAAAAACTCACGCAGCATCTGTCTGATTCTTGCAAGCTAAGTGTGGCGTCGTAGGCATCAATTTTGTGTCTGTGGTTTTCTAGCTATTAGGTTTTTTTTAAGGTGTGGGGGGGGGGGGGAAGGGGTAGACAAGTTTCCCTATTTTTGTGTTGTTGATATCGATCCAGCGGCGCATGAGCTTTTGCCCTTTGGCCCAATGCCATGTAGTGGAATTTGCATGTTTTCACAAGCTGTTCTTTTCCTCCGTACAAGGTGTTCCACTTGTCTGGTCTCTGAGGGAGTAGCATTATTCTAGTCTTGCTGAGTTTTGTGCACTCAAAGAGATGGTGTTCAACAGTTTCGTAGGGGTAGTTACATCGCTGGCACTCTGGGGAGTGTTGTGGCTGTATTCTGTTTAGATGTCTACTGAGTGGAGTAAGTTGTCTTCTAAGTCTCAAGATGGTGGCCTGGTCCCTTTTTGTTAGATGGTTAATGCTGTTATTAGGATCAGGGCCAGCCATATGTCTATAAACCTCTCTTCCAGTGTCTCCCATGGCCCATCTGTTCAACCAAGTCTCTATGTTTATAGTCCTTAAAAGTGTTTTTGCTGCATATTTTTGTGGGCAACAGATGTAAAAATTGTTGAGGAACAATGTTATAAAAAAATACGCAACTAACTCACTTTGCGATTCGAGTTGGTTTTACTAGGCAATTTTAGATTTAGTACTTTGCCCTTGCGCCCACCCCCTCCCCCGTAAACCATCACCTCTAGACGCCATTGTCAAAATCAACGCAATGCAATCTGTTGCCAAACTGCCCACCACTGGAGTCGAACCGGGTATTTGTAGGAATTATGAAGCGCAAGCAACGAACGCCGACAAACACAATAACAACTGTCTACTTCTTTCTGTTGTCGTCTCACTGATACCAGGTTGTAGCCCAGGTTTGGAGGATGGAATCGTTCATCCTTCTGCAGGTTTCTACTTTATCATTTATCCCTGTCTTTCTTGGTCTTCCTCTCGCCTTCCTTCCAGATGTTCTGCTGTAAACTAAGTCGTATATGCAGTTAGGTCTGGCTGCATTCTTACTGCATGGCCGAACCATTTCCTTCTCTGTCTATCAATATAATTCATACACGCTTTTATTCAAACTTTTTCTCTAATGCTGGTTTTTGTAACTCTTGTCTCTTTTTGTGTTGGTTGTTAGTGACCTTACGGAAACAGCGCATTTCATATAAGCTATTTTATGTTCTTGTGCCTTCCTTATTCATTGTCCATGTTTGGTACTGATAACATAAAGTAGGGATACAGATGCTATTAATCGTTTGCTGTTTTGCTGGAAGGGAAACATTTGGGTGTCAAATCGTGGGGCTAACTGGTAGGTGACAGCATTTGCCTTCTGTACTCTGACTTCTAACTCTCAGTCAAGTCTTCTATCTTCTATGAATATGCTTCCTATATCGACTTAAATAAAATCAAAACATGCACATACCACCTCAAGAAGAATATCAAAGAATTAAATATTATTTACACATCTCGTTGACTGTCCGATACATAAACACATGGAAAATATGCGACACACGACACATCTGTTACATTTGTACCACAATTGCTGACATACTGACATGAGATAGACATATGACGGTATTGACTGACATTCATAGATGTCTTGGATTCTTCTTTGTTTTCGTGTTGTTCTATCTGCCATTGATTTTCACATGAGAAGACTGCAGATGTCAATGAATGCTAGGGTGGGACCAGTGTTGCCACTTTTCTTTGACAAAAAACATCCAAAGTGGCAACACTGGGTGGGACGCACCACGGATCCACATAAACTGGCATACTTCTTTGTCGCGTTCACCGGAAATCAGATCCGGCGGATTTCAGTTGGCAGTTTTTAACATGTAAGTAATTAGCAAAGTAAAGGACCCTTGTCCACGTCTTAAGGCGTATAGGGCATATAGGGCTAGACCTATATTTTAAAGACCAATCGGCACAAGATGGGTGATGTGGTCAGTATCACGCCGGCCGCCTTCACTTTCCCGTGACTGCACCCGGTACCCACTCAAGGCTGGGTCGACCTGGGAGCCAAGGTCATTTTTGAAAAAAGTATAGCTCCGCCGTCGGCTCTGTGGCTAAGTCGATGCGAACACTTCGCTTCGTAATGCCGGAATGCCAGGTTCGATCCCAGCTGCGGGCAATGCGCCTTGCGTTGGTTTCGACAGTGGTATCAAGAAAGCCGACCGTCCAGGAAGCAATGGCAAACTACTGGACGTAAATTTGCCTAGAGAAACCACACAACAGCCAGGGGCTGTTAGGGTTGGTTCTGCAACGTCCTCTAGAGGATACGCAACAACCTTTTTATAGCTCCGCCAGGGAGTAAACCTACGACCTTCCGATCCGCGGCGAGCGTCGAACAGCTCGGCCACGACTACTCCCAGATATTAACATGTGACCATTCAATAACCTATTGACACCGAGGTGTCAACGTTTTCTAACGGCCTTTGACGTTTGACCTTTACAGAAGATGTAAGTGTGATTAACTGGATTTTTAGGCAAAGGAAATGACAATATCCGCCTAATTCTCTTGCAATTAAATACAAAAATAAATAAATAAAAATTCAGGTAGAAAAAAATAAGTAAGGCAGGGGAGATGATACAGGGTCGGTGATCCTTTCTGTCGGGATTAGATATGGGAAAAGGGTGGGGGGGGGGGGATGTGAGAGGGACGTTCAGCAATGTAAAGACAACACAATGATAGGGCTTTGGTGTGTACATGGCATCATAAATAGTCCATATGTTTCCAGTTCAGGGCTAGACATAACAAACAAACAAAATGGCGGCTGCTTGCATTGAATGTAAGCATTTCCTAATTATCAAAATGTTGCCAGCAGATTGTTATCTCGTACCCGTATTCTGTTTGTAACGATAGCATTTCTTCTGTCCATGCAGAAAGAATGTTTTCTGTCCGTGCAGACTGTATATTTTTATGTCGGTGCAGTATATTTTCTGTCCGTGAAGATAGCGCACTCGCACAACTTTGTGACTTCTATAGTATTTTTCACCTACCGAAACCAGGTCTCATCATTATTTAAACACACCAGTTGTAGGCAAAATTTTTAGCTAATGCCTTAATTTGAGAACAGGTGAGCTGTGAGAAGGGAACTGGACTCCTCACTAATTATATAGTCATGCAATTGTAAACGTTGAATACTTCTCTTTTCCTTCGCTTATAACATTGGTGTGCCTTGGAGTTGATATGTCCAAGGGATGTCTAGCTCTTCTAGAGTTTTGCTTGTAGAAGAGGAAATTTCTTTAAGATGGTAGCATTGGGCTTAAGATGATGTTTTCTTGGTCAGAGGCTTGTATCTGTGCCTTCATGCGCCCCTCCTGATGTTCCTCATTGCCATGTTCAGTTAGTTATGTGAGGGCTGCAGCCCAAAGTCGCTGGAGCTGATAGTGTTGAAGTTATGGTAACTAGAACCGATCTATTTCTGTCAAGACTTGAGGCCAGGTGGCGTTTCTGGCTGGATTCTTGCTGATTCAGACGGAGAGCATACCGGGATATTTGCATAGAGAGTGGTTTGGATAGTATGTGACCTCTTCACCTCAACCCCAACTGCTGGAAGAGCAGACGCCGATTTGCTTCTATGAATAGCCGCGTTGGCGTCAGTGACTACAGAAGGGTAGAGAGTAGCTGGCCCTGAACTGATGCTGGTTAGCGAGTCTGTAAACACCTCCTCTTGAGGTTTCCGCTTTCCCCGAGAGCTTCTCGCTGAAGAAGATTTTGGTAAAAACCTGCTACCCGCGCTTGAGCCTACAGATTCAAATGAAAGATCCAGGTCTAGTGATACTGGTGATAACAACGGCACATGCCTGATATTCGATTTTGGGTGCGTCATTTTATCGTCTGAAGAACCATCCTTTGGAGAAGATGGCGTTTGGAAAGTCCCATACGACAGCATCCTTTCGGCTGCTATCACAGATACCGGGGACGTGGAAAGGACTGTCTTTGCTGATTTGTCGGAAGATATAGACTGTGTGCGGGATGTTGTTGCAGAAGGCTCGCTCCAGATCTTCTCACTGCCGCAGCAAGAGACGTTGCTACATGGACTAGCGCTCCTGGACTCACTGTATGGCTCTATAACAACCATCTCCTGAGCGTAACAGGCGAGACTCGCGGGTTCTGAGGCAGGTTTTAGTGCATGCAAGAACGATTTTGTTTGAGTTACCGGAGCAGCACCTGCTTCGTGTCTTTGTTTAAAAGATAACCGATGAGAAGCCAGCTTGTCGCCAGGTTTCCGCGGTAAAGTGTTTGAGGGAGCTGGTTTTATGTTTTGTGCTGTGTTAAATGAATGTCTTCTCTCCTTCTGCTCCCCGTAGCTGTCCTGCGAGGGGACCACTAAAAATCTGCCAGTAGGAGACAAATCTTCGCTGACAGTGATTTTCGGTACCTTTAGTCGAGTTGTCTCTCCTCCTTTACTGACACTGCTTGAAATCATTCGGGCTGAAGGGTTGAACGAGTGCCTTCTCTCTACACGTCTGTCACTGTGGCAACTAGGAGTACTAGATGGTAAATAATTTAAGCCACATGCTGACGGCGAGTGTCCTGAATCAACAGGTTGGCCTTCAAGACTGACTGATGGCCGACCTTCCATGTACGGATCTAAGCCAGGAACCTGTAAAAACCTGGAACTTTGTGGAGGTACCTGCAGCGATCGCATCTCACCTGCTCTCTCGTAGTGACCGTCAGGATTAAACGAGCCTCGGCGACCTTCTCCTTTGCCGACATACTCTGGCTTCAGTGTGTTGTTGACGCCTATAGGATTAAAGGAATGTCTTCTCTGCTCGTTTGGATTACCAACGTAGATTTTATCGTCCCTGCGAATGGGATAGAACGAGTGCCTCCTTGTCCCTGGCTGAGGAATCGTATTGCCAAACCTGTTCCCAAAAGAGAAAGGGTTGACCGAAGATCTTCTCCTGTCTCTGCTCGTTTTTCTTTCCTCCCCTGCGATAAATTTATCACAGGTCGTGTAGGGAATGAACGAGTTTCGGCGTATTCCGGTCACCTTTGGACGTCCTTCTGCTGGCTTGTGGTCATTAACCCCTTCAAGACTTTCTGAAGCTTCTAGAAGCAGTAAAAACTTCATTCTTCGAGTCCTCATGTCCCCGCAGGCAAAAGTCCCACGCCTTTGAATGAGACGAGTTAACGGGAAGGAACCGTACCCGGGTTGCCGGGAAATATCATCTAAACTCCGCCTGTGGTCTGAAGGTAGAGCTTTCACTGATGAATATCTACGCTGTCGCTGAGTGAGCAACTCAGATGACCCTGAGTTCCAATGGACAATCGACCTGAGCATCATTGATTTTCTCCGCAGTCTAGCTTCGTCCATAGTATAGTCGTAACTCAAAGTTCTTGAGTCTGTGATCTTAGTTCCGACGCGGCCAGCACGTCGAAAACTAACAGAGCGTCGAATGTTAGGAAGCGATGACGTTTTTAACCAGTTGTCCTCACTTCTAAGTCGTTGTATCCTTGCCTGAATTACGCTGTAGCTTTTATTGGGTATTGGAGGCGATGGAGTGTAACCTTCACACTCTAGATCAATCTGCTGCTCAAGGGTCAATGAATCGGGTTTGACAGGGAAGATTTGCTCAGGAAGACCATCTGCACTGCTGCTTTGGTTGTCCGTCACGAGATTACGGTCTGCAATCTTAGAATACGCGGTCACCAGAGTTTGTGCATAGCTTTTCTTCATCTCCCCAACTATGACCTCGTAAAGCTCATCCTTGTCATAGACTGCAGATCTCTTGTCCGGCACAAGTATAGCGTATGTGTCCATGATCTCGCAGTAGAACACGCAGGCCACTATCATTGCGAACATCCCTATAGCCATTATAACAGGCCCGATATAGGAGCAAATCTTCAGTGTGAGAAACCTCGTATCATAACCCGAGTGGGATTCTGGTAAACTGCCGTTGGCCTGCAACAGTCTCGTAAGGTTATGGGTCATGTAGCTTGGGACGTAGCCAATGACGGACATCCCGGCTCCACCAGCAACTGCCATTAGACCTAAAACCACGGTCACTGTAGTTGGAAGTAGACACGGCATGCGGACAACCTCTTCGACCGCAAGACGCCTTCGGTGTGGACCTCGTTTCTTGGATTTGACTCCAAGGCCCACAATCCGAACTCTGGCGTGTGAAACAAACATACCGAATTGGTAACATATGTCTTGACATTTACTCGACTGTGACGCTCACGAGAAATAGTTCAAAGAAAAATAAGAACAATTTGTCAGTTGAACTCTCCGGTGCTATGATCAGTGTCCAGTTTTGAATCAATGATAAGTTGGTATCTAGTGATGGCCGTTGATTCCTACAATTTGTTATCAATGCTCTGGTAGAGGTGTGGTTGATTCTTGTATCGAAGCGACTGATTTTTATTCTTGTGGCTGTTAATGTTCTTGAAATGGAAGCTTTTTTATTTCATAAACTAGCTGTGAGTGTTCTTGAGATAGAGGTTCTTTATTTCAGAAACTAGCTGTGAGTGTTCTTGAGATAGAGGTTCTTTATTTCAGAAACTAGCTGTGAGTGTTCTTGAGATAGAGGTTCTTTATTTCAGAAACTAGCTGTGAGTGTTCTTGAGATAGAGGTTCTTTATTTCAGAAACTAGCTGTGAATGTTCTTGAGATGGAGGTTCTTTATTTCAGAAACTAGCTGTGAGTGTTCTTGAGATAGAAGTTCTTTATTTCAGAAACTAGCAGTGAATGTTCATGAGATAGAGGTTCTTTATTTCAGAAACTAGCTGTGAGTGTTCTTGAGATAGAAGTTCTTTATTTCATAAACTAGTTGTGAGTGTTCTTGAGATGGAGGTTCTTTATTTCAGAAACTAGTTGTGAGTGTTCTTGAGATAGAGGTTCTTTATTTCATAAACTAGCAGTGAATGTTTATGAGATAGAGGTTCTTTATTTCAGAAACTAGCTGTGAGTGTTCTTGAGATAGAGGTTCTTTATTTCAGAAACTAGCTGTGAGTGTTCTTGAGATGGAGGTTCTTTATTTCAGAAACTAGCTGTGAGTGTTCTTGAGATAGAGGTTCTTTATTTCAGAAACTAGCTGTGAGTGTTCTTGAGATAGAGGTTCTTTATTTCAGAAACTAGTTGTGAGTGTTCTTGAGATAGAGGTTCTTTATTTCAGAAACTAGTTGTGAGTGTTCTTGATATAGAGGTTCTTTATTTCAGAAACTAGCTGTGAGTGTTCTTGAGATGGAGGTTCTTTATTTCAGAAACTAGCTGTGAGTGTTCTGGAGATGGAGATTTTTCATTCTTAGAACTATCAGTCAATGTTCTTCAGGAAACAGTTTGTTTATTTTTGAAACTTGTTGTAAATGTTCTTGAAAAGGGCCACATAAGATTTGTGGAGAAATTTGTTTATGTTCTTGTATTAACGGCTGCAGATTCTTGCAGGTAGCGGTGAATGTTCTTGTAAGAACGGCTGCAGATTTTTGTAGCTAGCGTTGAGTGTTCTTGTAGGAACGGCTGCGGATTCTTGTAGCTAGCGTTAAATGTTCTTGGGGGGATTGCTCCCAATTCTTCGACTCCGCAGTGAGTGTTTTTATAGGAACGACTACACATTTCTGCTTCTTGAGGTCAGTGTCAGTGACCCATGAACCACCATAGAAATTCTTAGAAGACTCTACATCTTCTGTCAACAGTCAGCAACTAATGTCTTATCCTCTGTCCTAAGCTTATTCTGCTCTCGACCTTTAGAAATGACACCCTTCTCGATCTTGCACAGCGACTTCTTGGCTTCTAGTTGTCATATCTGAAAATATATTTTGAAAACAATAACGTATGAGAAAAATTCACCCCCCAAAATTTTTTTTTAGTATTACAAGGATTCTCTTTACCAAACAAAGTCTGCGGCTTAAGGTTTATTGCATAACACTTCAAATCCATCGGCGTTCTAAATCAGCGATCTCGTATCAGATCGCTTTGCTTTCATTTTGAAGACGATAGGAGCGCGTACCGTTCAGTAAAAACAACGTCATCGTCCTCCTCCTCCTCCTCCTACTCGCCCTCCTCATCGTCATCATCAAAAAGTCTTTCTGAACTTCAACAGTATATTATGTTGACAGCCTTCCATGCCATGACTACAGGTTGACAAGACCTCTCTCTGTATGCCTGACTTTAGATCTATAGATCTTTCTCTGAATCTAACTGTGACAAGTCAAGTTTTTATCTACTCATAACTTTGCCGAGAATGACACATTCTCATTCGGAGAAAAAAAGGAAGAAGAAAAAAGAACAAGAGCAATAGGAAGAAGAAGCAGACTAGATAAAGATGCTCCTGGATGTCGTTCCAAACGATTCACCAGAAGAAGAAAAAGAAGAAGAAGAAGAAGAAGAATAAGAAGAAGAAGAAGAAGAAGAAGAAGAAGAAGAAGAAGAAGAAGAAGAAGAAGAAGAAGAAGAAGAAGAAGAAGAAGAAGAAGAAGAAGAAGAAGAAGAAGAAGAAGAAGAAGAAGAAGAAGAAGAAGAAGAAGAAGAAGAAGAAGAAGAAGAAGAAGAAGAAGAAGAAGAAGAAGAAGAAGAAGAAGAAGAAGAAGAAGAAGAAGAAGAAGAAGAAGAAGAAGAAGAAGAAGAAGAAGAAGAAGAAGAAGAAGAAGAAGAAGAAGAAGAAGAAGAAGAAGAAGAAGAAGAAGAAAAAGAAGAAGAAGAAGAAGACGAAGAAGAAGAAGAAGATGAGCAGGAATAATTCAATACTTCCTCATCTACAAAAACAACTTTCCATGAGAGAAAACAACCGCATCAATTGGGCAAATGCTCTGGCAACAAGAAGCTCCTAAATAGACGCAAGTGATATCTCTGCATCGCCAACAGGCTTCACAAACCACCCGCCATTTTTGACAACAAAATCCCACTTAATTTTGCGAAGCTCATAAATCGATGCCAATTCAATAATCGGTCTTAGAATGGACGGTTCTAATTTGTCAAAAGGAAGGAGTCGGTTCAGCCGCCACTTTCCTGTCCTGGTTGAAAATATCGATCAGCGATATTTCTCTCATTGCATGATCGGTTCCGTATCGTCCTCGTTGGTGTTCACGTTTTCTGTTTGTGGGCACTAGGTGCTGGTTAGAGAACACGACACACGCGCACATATCGTGATTGTAACTGATTCAGAAAGCAGGCTGAGGAAGATCAGGACATGCATGCTTCTTGCAGAGTGGCATGCTTCGCTGCGGAGGACACGGGTGAGGAGTATTTTTTTTCAGCAGGGCGCGCCGGTGTGTTGGGAAATGAACAGGAAGCACAGACTGGCTGGCTCTGCACAACTTGGTGGAATACTGATACATAATAAGGCAGATGGGGTTAATGCCTTGTGGGAGAGCGTGTACAGTTCGGAGGAGCAGATGGATCACCACAGTCTGGTGAGTTTGAGGCAGGGGGGAGTGAGGAGAGGTTCTGGCAGTTGCTCGAGGCTCAGAGGAAAGGCAAGACGGACGTTTAATGAGAATGCTACTGGCACCATTAGTATCGGAACTCTTTGCTGGCTGCTGAAGATGGGGACGGAACGCCTATGGGAATGCCCTGAGTGCTGAGATTTTGGTTATTAAATCAAATAAAATCAAATCTGGGCACTGGAGCGGGTTCTGCAGAAAACTAAATATCTAATATCTACTTTCCTCCATCCTATCTCTACCCTTCCCATCACCCTCTCCCGGTCCCTGTCCTGTTGTGGTTCCTGGTGCTCAATAGGGGTAGGCCATGAAAAATATCTTCTGCTTAAACGTCTTTCTCTCATTATATAGTCCGTCTATCCATTCCCTTATCTGTCCCACCTTTTTCATCTCGTTTTCCCCATATCCCTCCCCTCCTTTTCAAGCCCCCTTGACTGCCTGCACTCAAACAGCCCCTCTCTGGTCTAGCAGACATATCTTGTTCCTCTTAGTTCCGCCATTATCTGCACTCCCGGGGCAGGACATGTGAGACCCAACCTGGCAGTACATGGGTACTGCTGTCTGCCATGAAGCCTGCACTTCCTTCAGCGCTGTCTCTAGAGGGTTGGCGGGAACCGAGTGCACTCTGTGACGTGAAACCACCAGAGTCCGGGGAGACATGCCTGTCGTTGTACTAGACTGGAAAGATTAGTTTCTGGCCTCTTTCTATTACATCTCTCTCTCTCTCTCTCTCTCTCTCTCTCTCTCTCTCTCTCTCTCTCTCTCTCTCTCTCTCTCTCTCGCGGACTAATAAAATAGATAAAATACAGTTGCTGTGTACTTTCGGTCAATGTTGCAGATAGTCTGGTTTACTCAGCTGAGTGTATGGCGCAGCACTGTGAGCTGGATATTTCATTTGAAATGCTTTTTGACTATGTTCAACTTGGTTTGTGCTGTAAACTAAAGATTCGGAAAATGACAAATGACCTTTTATACGTGAACTGGTGTGCCTTATGCTGTTAATTGCGTGTGCAACTATTATCTGTTGTACCAGATTTTTACTGAAGATGAACAATATTTCTGTAGTCGAACTGTTTGTGTTGATACTTCTGGTGGCTGCCTTATGCATTTATTGCTTGTGTAATGAGAGTACGTGATAGCCTGCAGTGTAACAGTTGAGTGTTTGCAGTGGTCGAATGTAAGGTGAATGTGACAATACGCTCGGTGACTTCAGAAGGTCTTTCCTTAACCTACTTTTATTCCTTTGTGTTTCGAAGTATACAGAGATAAATGGATTTGGGTACATCCTTAATCTAAGTAGACGACCACATCACACCTTTAATTCTCCTGGACCGTTGGTCATATCAAACACTAAAACTTTTTCCCAGATGTTAAGTGTTAAGGTACAGAGATAAGACTGACCAAGCAGATTTACTGACTGGAGATTTGCACACCATTTGTTGGTGTCAGATAGTTATTCCCCCTGCCAGATCTTCAGGAACAGATAACAAGGGCTAATTGAGATTATCCCCCCCTGAGGTTACCTAAACTGGAGTGCCGGTCAGACGGTCACTATTGACACAGTGAGCGGAAAGTGTTGGCAGAAGAATTGACAAAGTCGGATTTTATTGTGATGACAGGTGAAGTAGACTGGAGGTGTGACTTGTCTTATTTGCTCTGGTCAGCTTAATTGAACCAGGAGATCCTAGCGTGGGAATTCAAACAATAGTTGTACAGCCCTGACTGACAGCGAATAAACTTACCCACAAGGGAGGA